TATGTTATGCCAATTGAGCTTGATGTCCCCTGTGACTATGGTCCCAAGCCCACAGGTTCAAGTACTTGGTCCCTCTGGGTAGCTGGCTGTGACCAAACAGTGACCACAATCTTGCCCCTTGTCAGCTCTACTATACACCTGGGAATTCTGATCATTCACATAAACTTATAGGAACCATTGATCCCCATTTCATAGACATACCTAATCGTTTAACCTGTCCACCTATCTATCCATCCATATACCCATGTTTACCTTCACTGACAACACAGTACTTTATATGCAAAAGGGTTCATATTTGTTGTCTGTACCTCCCATGATACTTCATATAATTTTTTTAACACATTGAAAACATTTACATTTATAACCATTACTATTTTTTGAAATTCTGTCTCTCGTTTCCCATTCCCAACTTCATAACTCTAGATTTTGGCTTTTATTACCTCACGTGTCAAGACTCACATTTGTACTCTTTACTGGTTACTACTATACTTCATTTTACAAATCAATACCAGATTCTCTGTCCCAAAATACAATTTTTACTTTACATAATTTCCCCTAGCACATAAAGTACATAATGGTTTCTTGCCATCTACATATTAGTCTAAACACTTGACTTTGCATCTGAGGTCAATCAGAATTTTTGCTTACTATATTTCCAGAATTTTCCCCCTGTAATTTCCCTGTTGTTGTTGTTGTTATGTGCCATCAAGTCGGACTCGACTCAAAGTGACCTCTCCTTGGGCTTCCGAGGCAGTAACACTACAGAAGTAGATAGCCCAACTTCCTTCCGAGGAGTGGCTGGTGGATTTGAACCACCAGCCTTCTGGTTAGCAGTCAAGTGCCTTAGGCACTAAGCTGCCAGAGCTCCCATGATTGCCCTAGGCACAGCCTAACTGGAACAGGCCTAGGATATTCAGCTTCTTTTTGTTCATCATGTCCTCCATTCTCCATTCAGATTACCTAATACCTACTCATCCTTCAAGATCCATCACTGAACTGCGGCCCACTTACCATCTCCCCTGTGAAGTGCAGTGCTCACTACCTGTACCACTTTGACCATTATTGCCTTTTGATTTCATTTATAGTTTAGTACATATTATTACTTCTCCTTAGGAGGGCTGGGTGGTGTAAACGGTTGAGAACCTGACTGCTAACCAATAGGTTGGTAGTTCAAACCCAACCAGAGGTAATCACAAGGGCTGGCATTATGCTTCTGAAAGGTCACAGCCCTGAAAACCCTACTACTCCATAGTAGTGCCACTGTGCACACATGTGTGGGGTTGCCATGCATCCGAATCAACTTGAATGCAACTCGTTGTTATTTATCCTTCCATATTTCAGTTTGGAGTGCATTATATACTAAAATGAATTAGAAGTGTGATAGAAAAATCTTACTCTTTTAATAAATTGTGTTCTTTCTAGTAGCTAACAAAGTAACATAACTCTTCTAGTCTTGTTATCATCAAGTCACCTTTGGCTTATGGTGACTCCTAATGTGTCTGGTGGTTGTACACATAGCTTCTAATCAAAAGGTTAGCAGTTTGAACTCACAACTTGTTCTGTGGAAAAAAAAGATGAGGCAGTCTACTTCTGTAAAGATTTACAGACCTAGAAATTCTATGGGACAGTTCTACTCTGTCCTGTAGGTCTGCTAGGAGTCAGAATCAACTTGATGGCAATGAGTTTGGCTTTTTGGGTTTTAGTGTGTCAAGGGAGCAGAGCTGTTTTCCACAACTGATTTTTCAGAAGTAGAGTACGAGGCCTTTCTTCCAAGGGCCTCCTCGTGGACTTAAACCTCCAACTTTTCACATATTTTACTCTTCTGTTTTCT